ATTTTCGGTAAAAATTTGAAGTAGCTTTTAAGTTAAGTTACTTTAGAGAAAACCCCAATTGGCCTGTACTATAAAACTCGCCACCCACCCTATTATTTATGTCACTTCGTTTCCGTTATTCATTGCGCTTCCCTTGTAGTTATTAGAACGTCCCCAATACTCATTGTCTTGCTTGACACTTACACAAAAGCGTCTTTAGCGATTGTTCACTTTTCGAAACCGTCGATTCGATGCAGTCATAAGGACAAGCCGTTGATTGGTTATCACACAGATTCGCACAACCGAATGGAATCGCCACGGAATTGATTGATAAAGCTACTTTTTGTAAGAGATGTAACTTTTTATGCTGCCATGTGCTTGTTAGTTTTGTGTAGATACAACGAAAATGTGGAAGCGGTGGTGAAATAAAAGCTACGAGTCAGTAAAAATCATAACAAAGGACTATTCAATACTGTCGGTAACAAATGGACGCATGTATTTGTCATATCTATTGTTAAAAACCGATAAGGATGTACTGAAAATTTTAAAAAAATTATATGAGGTGATAAATTATACAAACAATTTTCAACTTAATTACATTGTTTATTAATTATTGTTTAACCTGTAACCGGTGATTTTAGGAACATAACCGGTGACGTGGAATCTCCGGGACTCATCGTAAATATGCTGGTCTCATTCAAATTTAAATAATTATTTTATCACATTGTTTATAATAATCTGTTCTTTAGGCATTTTTGCAATATCCTATTGCCTTTTTAGTTCATTCTGTTACTGACTATTCTAATTATTAACATTTTTGTCAAAAGTTAAATATATAAAGTACGGTGTTACGTCGGAAAACTTAATTTTTTTTTAATATTTTTAAATTTGGTATGTACAAATGGTTTTAATATCAGGTACAACAAATATTGAATAATCTATGGTAATAAAAATTATCATCAGTAATCTAAACGTAACGGAACGTGCAGGGGATAAATAAGGACAAAAAAATGGGATTATTTTTTCTTATTCTTTTTGAACGTTACAGTTTCTGCATATTTTATGAGAACAAATCAAGCAAATTGGTTTTTTACAACAGACGCATAAATAAGATGTCTTCCTATGAAGTTTTGATGGGCAAATGTAGCAATACTTTCGAACTGCTAACCGATCTTCTTGAATAGAAGGAGGTTCAACCACGCACAGTATTCGCTTTATGTTTTCTCTTATTTCTGTCGGGATTCTGCTGTTATTCATTCGTTGTTTCATGTGTGCTTCAATTAAGCTTTTAGCCAGTACCCTCATTAAATCTTTCCTGTCTAAGGGTTTGGATTCTCTATAACACTGATACATAACGAAAGCGTTAACTGTACTCATATCTAGTATTTTGTAAAATATAGCCATTGGACGAACTGTAAACCGTACATTTTTTCATCCAAAGCATCAACGCCGCCTTTCGTCATATTATACAGACTAATTATTTCTGGTTTTTGTGTTTTTTCATCTATGGCTATACTATGATGCATGGAGGATAATAGTATGACGGCTTTGTTTTTTTTAGGAACATACGAAAGAAGGGTAATGTCTTTTGTAAAATCGTATCTAACTGAACCAATCTCTCTATGTCTTTGAGGAAGAAACTCAGGAGGAATATGTCTTTTAACCTTTTTCATGGTTCCCACATATGTTAGGCCATTAGATTTCACCAACTGAACTAGTTCTATAGACGTGAACCAATTGTCAGCTGTCACATTACGATTACTGCCAAATAATGGCTTAGAAAGCCGTAACACAGATTGAGTAGGTTTAGCAAGCTTTTTCTCAGTTACTGAAAGGCCCATTCCGTCGGAATCTTGGCCTGTATATACATACGCATTGTACACATAGTTGTTTCTTGCATCTGTTAATATCATAATTTTAAGTCCATATTTTCGTGGTTTGTTTGGAATATACATTCTAAAGCGTGATCTACCCCGGAAACCAACTAACATTTCATCAATGCATACATATTCACCAACAGAAAACTCCGTTTGACAGTTTTGAATAAAAGATTCAAATAGTTCTTGAATTGGTGCTAGTGGATTTACCGCTTTTCGTTGTTCTCTCGTGGAAGGGTCATCAAAACGTAAACAAGTCAATAAAACTGCAAATCTCTTGGTACTCATTACGGACCGAAAAATTTCTCTGCCCGTTCCATCTGTAGCAAATGGACATTCTATGTCTTCATCATTGGACTTTGTCCTGAGGTGTAAATTAGTAAGCCTAAAAATGCTTCCATTTCGAACTGGTCGACATTTATTAATTCCGGCCTCTTTTCATTTTTGTATTTGACCCTAACACTCGCCAATTTTACATTTGTCCATTCGACTACAACATTTAACATTTGATTTGTAAATAAACAGTTCCAAATTTCCTTTGGAGGTGCCGAAAGACCAAGAGACCGAGCCTTTCCTTGCAGCCCCGGTAAATGTACAATAATATTATGCTTTTGAGTACGAATATTTTTTGGTGCACTAGCTGACCACTTAAATCTGTTTTTACCATAAAAGTAGTTTGAAGATCTTGACGCCAATATATTATTTTCATCATCACTGGACGAGTCTTGGTTTAAAGTTTCTGAAATATTGTCTTCTTGATCAGATTCACTATCAGACTGCTTAGATGCCGACTCATGACTGCTTTCTATTACCGCATTACTGTCAATATCATCAATATCACTATATTCAGAGTCCAAATCATTGAACCAATTTAACACTTTCTCTTCAAATTTCGGATCTGTAACACTAACCGATCGTGACGTACTTGGTAGATGATCCATTATAGTTTATACGAAGAAATATAAAACACTCGATAAAAAGTAACTAACGGTGACGTTGAGTCTCGCTGACTCCAATAACGTCTGTTCTCGCAAACGGCTAAACGTAAACTAATCAAACAAAAACGCTTGGTTTATGAACTATTTTTAGAAAGGTACTTAGCCGCAGGCCATCCAGAGTCGTCCGCTTCAATATTTTAAACCGGTTTTTAATTTCGCAAGAGTCTCTCAGACTCCACGTCACCGGTTACGGGTTAATGTCGAAGGTTTACTTTTAAAGACTATCATAATAGGATTATACATGCACAATAATAAGTTATGATGTTACTTAACAAATTGAACAAACTTATTTGAATAATATCCCAATATTAAAGAAGGAAATAAATAGAAAAAAATACTACCATTATACTACGTTTAAAGCCGTCCAAATATAAAATTATTTTGAATGGTAAATTACCTTTCAAAAATTGTCATTTCATCTGTGCATAAAGTTATAGTGCTACACTAGTGCTCACCAATATAGTCTGACGTGAGTACTCGAAATTACATTATTATAAACAATATTATCAAAATATAACCTGCAAAATACACAAAGATAAAACAAGTTTAAGTCTGGATCCGAAACAACACTATTTTAAATAACACTACCTCAACCAACATGAATCAACCACAAAGCTCATCTTTAAACTCCTATTCCAGTATAGTAAATTCTTTTATAAACACTCAACAAAAGAACAGGCTATTATCCTATCTAGTATGGAAGATACAAAAATTCACGACTACATCATAGCAGTAGGATCACTAGTAGGACCACGTTATGTCATCTTCGCATCAAGAATTTCTAACAACCAAATTTGTATTTATCTTTCCTCAAAAAGCACGGTCGACTCACTTCTCCACTCCTACAAATTTGTAAACATAAAAGAATCACAAATAGAAATAAGAAGATTGATCACTCCAGCCGATAGACTCATAGTATCTAATGCATGTCCTACAATTTCTAACAACATTATAGAAGCAGAACTACAAAAGATGGGTATCATTGCTGTGTCTAAGATGACTATCTTAAGAATAGGTATACCAGACACAGAATACAGCCATGCCTTCAGTTTTAAAATATAAATATTTATCTCTCCCCTAAAAAATATCTTGAAAAATTGATGCTGCTCTCGTTGTTAAGAATATTATCTTCTTCAGAAGAGGAGCCTTCTTGTTGGGATTCATGGATAGAGTTTGATGCACTGTCAAACATCATTGAAGCTGCAAAATCAGTTTCTTTAAAAGTATTTTTATCTATAGGGTAAATTTCACTAGCACGAAAAGCGTTCTGATCTTTTCATACTGTTGCAGCAAGCCCATAAACCTCTCATTATCCCAGAAACCTTTAACATTGATACAGTTCGACATTATTCTGCAAACATTTTTGAATGTATTGTCCAAAAAAAAATTATGAAAGGTTCTGAAGAATTCAACATCCAAAGGTTGAAGTCTATATGTAGTGTGACTTGGTAACTGCAATAACCTAATTCCATTATCCCTGGGCAATTTGTAGAGCTTTTAGGTTTTACTGTGGATGATTGTTAGAACACTAACGTATCAATATTAGAACAACTTCAAGTAAAGGATAGATTGCTTAAATAAATACAACAGAGATATTTGCAGTATTTTGGACAAATTGCTAGAAGAACAGGCATGATAGAAAAACTTATAGTCGAGGGCAGAGTTAAAGGAAAGAGACCTAGGGGAAGATCTACAAGGCGTTGTGTAGATCAAAGAATAATTTTGATTAACCAAGAGTTACAGGAAGCCGAACAACTAACCCAGGACTGAGATGGATGGAGGGAAATCGTGAAAAAACTGTAAAGGCCTGAGGTTGTCACGACATCCTAAAAGGAATTAGGACTGAGGAGGACCCCTTTTTTTCTGACCTTCTAAAATAATTTAAAAATACTTTGGATCTTTTACTAATAAGTCCAATTAGTTTCTTCGTTTCTCTAGTTTCTTTTTTGATTACAAAATATTTTATCAATATAAATTTACTGTCTAAATATTTACCTACGTATTTGATTCTTGTATTAGAATTGATAATTATATATTATGTATATATTATGATATTATGTTTTTTATAAAAAAGCAATTTGATTGGCTTATAATCAAAACCTATACAAACTCAAATCAAATATAATTCTACTAATATTTAACAGCTGTCGCTTCTGTCAAAGTTGTAGTTATAAATATTTTATTTTAAATTTGCATCAAAATTATAACGCAAAATGAGCAGTGATGATAATAGTAAACCTATTGGGCATATATCAAAATGTAAAATAGTTCAGAAAACCAAGCAAGAAATTTTGAAAACAAACCAAAAAAATAGAAAAGAACAGTTTTTAGCCAAACACGACGAATGTGTATCAAATACTATTAATAAACAAATGGAAAAATGTAACCAAACTTCGAAGTCCTCTTGCAAAAACGATCATATGGAAATTATGCAAGAAAAGAAAAAGATTTGTACAATTGTACCTAAAAAATTTCCCGTAAGGCCACCCCAACTTCCAGACGTAAAAACATACGATCACCTGCTTGGATTTGTTGAATTTCCAAATTTAGGTCCGAAACATGCGAAAATTTTGGTTAGTTTTATGCCTAGCATTAGCTTATTCACATTGGCTGCTACTCTTTGTACAGTGTATGTTTGCGAATGGAAAGATGTTTTGCAGTTTTTACCCTATTATAGCGGAAAATATATAACAGATGAAAAATAAATTATTGAATTACTTGAAAATAAATATGGTGTGATACAGTGAGACTATTCTGATTTTTTGGTTGAATATACATATGAACTGCTAACTGCAAAAAGGGGACATCTTCTTTAAAGTAAATTTTACAGGAAAAGGTAAAAACTAAATATTTATGTATCTAAATCACCTAGAATCGAGAAACTTGGTATACATGTTCAATATAACTTTATATATAATGTTGTAAATGACTGGTAAACATTTTTTTCTTCAAACGTCAAATAATGATTACATTACTTATCTAACTTGATCCTGTCAAAGTTTGATGTCTCCGCCGGCAGCAGTTTTTTTTCCCATTTCTTTAAGGCGGAGAGAAAAATGTTGTCATGGCGACAATATGAAACATGTCACAAAGCAACAATACAAATGTCATTAACAACAATTAAACATCATTTTTATTTATAGTAATGTTAAAAGTACAATTAGTTAATGAGGCATTTTCAAAATTGAAACCTAGCAAAAATGTTCTCGCCTCTTGATACGCATTGGTAATTGTTGATGATACTGATGGTCGAGAACAACTTTTAGCACTCATTCCCGATGTTGGCGAATCATGTGGGTTTAAAATTTTTGAGCATTATCGTTCTTATTTCTTATTTAATCCTCTATATATCCTTCGGCAACCGTGCTTGATTTCCAGCCCTCAGGTCGTTTGAGGCATTCTAGATTTCCGCCTCCACCAATTAAAAGTGTTGCCGAAATTCGTCGTAAAGAGTGACCCGTGTATGCGCTTGCATCGTTCAAATTTAAATAACTATTTACTTTTTGGGCTACTGCGCTGATCGAATGTATTCCCATGACGCTTCGGTAACACTTTCCATTTTGGTACTTGATAAAAAATCGATTTTCTGCGAGTTTCAGTGATGCATACTTTTTATACAGTTTAATGTAGTTGTGACCAATTATCGTAAAAGATCTAATTTGTCGTGTTTTACTGTCTGGGATTTAGACAACTATTACATTTTCTTTATCCTCAATGTGCACAGTCTTCATTTTTACCATTTCGTCGCATCGACAGGCGCCGGTAACCCCAATTAACAAAACAATCTGAAATATTTTTATAATTTAGTAGAGAATACTACATGCTTTGCAATATAATTTTTTTTACCTTTAATCCTAAATACAACTTATCTGGCGCTTCAAACAAAAATTTATCAAACTCGTCTTTAGTGAAAACTTTAGACTTCTTTGCAGTATATCCTTCACTTGTGTTTTTCAGAAAGACGCGTAATTTTAAAAATTTGCTTATATCCACATTTTTTCTAATAACTAACTCGGATTTTATCATAGAGTATCGTGACCACATTGTAGAAGATTTCCATTTATTTTCATTTTCCATTATATTAAAATATGCCAGTAAAACGTATTCGGTAACTTGCCGTACTCCTCTTGTATCGCACCACTCTTGGAAGTGCTTGGACGTTTCCGGTACTTTATTCCGGACTTGGAGGGCCTCGAACGTGCTACTGCATCATTAGCCGCGGACTCAATTTCGTTTAGGTTTTCCATTTTCGCACTAAATTTGCGCTTGAGGTTGCAACAACAGTAAGCTGTCTTTATTAATTGCAAACAACTGTCAAACAACTGTAACCAGGGAGACGCAAATTCCACCGACGACTTAATTATTTTAATTTCTAACATCTAGACGACTTTGATAGTTGTCACAGTTCATTTCGAGTAAAAATAGCGTATGAATTGTACTATTTATGGTTGAACATTGCTATGTTTGAAGAAAAAATATTATACTTTATTTGGCAAAGAAGCGACTTTTCTTTACTTGACCTCTATTACGCGCCTCACTTCGTTCGGCGCGTAATATCGGGCGCGTCAAGAAAAGTCATGCTTCTCCGCCTCATAAAGTAATATACTGTTAATTATATTTGTATAATATTCACATTTTAATGTTATGTAGAAATCCCTCTTTTGCAGTTAACTGTGATTCAATTAAAAATTATGAGGAATAATTTAATAATATAAACACTACTTTCCAGAAAACACCTTGATTTTCAATTATAAACAACTAATATAAAGTACCACTTCTATAAGTAAAAAACATGGGATATTGTCATCATCAATGCATTTTTCTAATTTCTTTAACCATGAATGCCATTGGTGGACGTTTTTCAGAGTAAGCTCGCGTTGAAGGCAAAACTATCACTTCTTTGGTTATTTGTCGAACGCTAAATTTCTCAGATATGACACCATTAATAAACTGACTACATATGAGGATGCCAGGTTCCTCTCTATCGCAACTCATGTGATGGTAAGGTGAACTTTGAAGTTTTATTTTTTTTTTTTTTTGGTTGGGAACTTTTATTCCACAGGATGAGTTACTAAGATACCTTTATTTATAACATCGTGGCCACCAATTACTGTAGTCGAGAAAAGCATCGTGTCTCAGTAGGTGTACTCGAAATTTTGACGGGTTTTTAGCAGCACTCATTTTCACATTAAGAATTTCTTTTATCCAGATACAGCCTGTTAATTTTCTTTAGTTTCCTCTTGATCAGAGCAAAATCTAGATAAAACGGCATATATGAATAACCCCAAATCAAATAGAGCAATTCAACACTGTCAAATTTACCTAGTTCAACAAGTGTCATAATAAACCTAAAAATAGGATGGTTTTTATTTTGACCAGCGCAATTATCAGCTAAATTTTCTATTTTTTACGTGAGGGTCATATAAAATGTATGTCTCAATATAATTACTGAAATGACTTAAAACCTTGTTCGGGCCTTTGCCACACTCTCCTTTGTGGTAAACATATCAGACCGTCGTTCCATCTTTCAAATTATGAATAACGAAAACACTAACTGTCAATTTTCTATAATAGTAGAGATCTTGCACAGGTATAATAGGTAAAGATATATTGTCCATGAAGTCTACCGCAATTGCAGCAGTTATTTATTCTTTATCCTCTTCTTCTGCTCTGAGGTAATTAAAAAATGTTTTGCTCCTTCGCTTATGAACTAGCAACCCAGCAACAGCCACTCGTTTTGCGTTGTCTTTTAAAAATGTATGTTTGATTTTTAGTCCTAACTCTTCACAAAATACACGTGTCCTACTGAAGTTGGCCGAATTTGAGTTTTTTTTTTAAAGTATCTCCAAAAAGATTCGTAACTTATTTTATGCTCAGCGTGTTTAACTTTGTACATGTGGTACATTTCTGCACATTAAGTATGGAATGAAGCCATTACATTTCGTGAGAAGTATAATGAGTTGTTTTAGTGGGTTACGAAGCAATGTGTTTATGTACTTCCGAAAGTATTTCTGTTGGTTTTTTATTATAACTGCTACTCTTCCCGCGTCGAACACTAGGAGTTTGCTGTTTATAAAGCAGATTAGATAGCCGCTCACATATTTTCTTTGTGATTCCAATGCTCGCCAAAGATTTTTACAAATAGCAACTCTACTGTCATTATGAAGTAAATTGTACGTCACTGTCTTAGATTTACTTTTGGTTTCTATCAGTGGGTAATTGCCGCTTAGAGACAGCACAATCCATAAGGCCTTGCAAGAAAACATTCCGTTCTTCTTTATTCGATAAGGTGTGGAAAGAAGCGTGGACTTCTCATGGGCATTCAGATGAGACAAACACTTCAACTTGCATCTGAAACAAATGAGATAGATATTAAAACAACTTAAAATAATTGACAGATTAAGATAATTTAATAATCTTAGTAAGTTTTGTTAGAATGTCAGCAAAATGCAATGCGAATAATTATTACATTTAGTAACAAAATAAAAACACAATGAATTACAGAGTAATATGGCTAAAACTACTACTTACCCACATTTTAAGGCGGAAACACGAGGTAGTATCTCCTTTCCTGCTGCATTGACGAAAGAAACGCATCGAGCTCTTGCATCACGATATGTATTTCGTGCATATTTGTAAGAATTTACAACTCCTTTTTTTCTTATGCACAGTGCATCTGAATCACTATCACTACTAGCATTGCTACGAGCCATTGCAAACAAAGTTAGAGATATGATACAACAAAATCTCTCATAAACAATTGTGCTGGTATTGAAGAGAAAACCAAGCACCGCATGCACACCAAAACAGAATCATCAACAAATGTTGGTGCGACATACAAAACTTAGTTTTAGAGAAAGTTAAAGAGGATAATTGTTTAAAGTGTCTATTTTGTCCATTCTAAACTCCTCATATTTTAAAAAAGTTGCGATGGAAGCGAACGGCATGCTGCTGTAATTCGTCTTCTAAATTAATCAATATTGTCTGGTATTATGGTGATATAGTGATAAAACATAATAAACATCAATTTCAAGATATCATCAAAAAGAATTGAATTCAGGTGATATTAAAGATCATTCAATTTTAAAACCAATGAAGATTAATTCCTTGCGTGGTATGAATAAGAACAACTCAAAAAGAATGACATTTTTATTGTAAACTATTAACCAAATCTATAATTTAAAAACATTTGATTTAAACATTTCTTGGGGTTATAAAATACGCCATATTCTATTGATTCTGCAGAGAATAAACATAATTTCTGATTTTAAATTTTTTCTTTGTATTTGTATTCGTTTTCAATTTGTTTTTCTCTTTGATAAATAACATAAGTTGAAAAATTAATTTCGTAAAAAAAAAGGTTGGTAATATTTGGCGATAATATAAAAAAACTTCGAAAAATTACTTCTAAAACCGACTCTATAGACATTCCGTTTAAATAAAATTATTTGAAACGTTTTAATCAAATTTTAAATTGTTACATTCTTTTCTGGGAAGCGACGGACCGAACAAAATACAAAAAAAAAACTTTTATTGAAAATTTTTGAACTTTTTAATAACTTCAAGCACGTTATTATGAAGCCAACGTCAACGCTTAACCTGAAAATGACAGATGAATTACCCCGAGTGCCTAATACACTGAAACACACCTATAACCGGTATAATGTGAAGTGTCTTTACAAAACAGTTAATTAAATCATCTGAAAAGTATTTTTCTGGTGTCAGTTAGGATCTGTTGTTGCTGTGGATATTGAAATGACAACCGGAATTTTTGTGACAGCATAATAATATCGGTCGGTTATAGCGTTTGTATTTAAAACATTCATAAACTGAAGAATGTTACCGTTTAGTTATTTTA